TTCTATCCAGAGAATAGCAATTATACTTCCTAATTGAGCATTAATTTAAATCAGATATTATTTTATTTTAACATACTTGACCGTTGCATTTATTATGTGTTGGCTTCTAATCTAGTTTAGGAAGACAGCTATGGTAATGATCTCAAAATATAAATCATGCCCTTGATATTTTTTAATATCTTGAATGTATTCCTTTTTTGCATAGTGGGTTTGCCTAGTATAGCTATTGGCTTTTCCTAAGCTAAGGAAAATGAGAACTTATTTTCTTTTTAGCTTATTAACTCCAAATATCCAAAGATAATGTAAAGCACTAAAAAGAAAAATTTTAAGCTGTAAAAAAAAAAGATGTGGTTTCATATGGATTCTGAGTAAAGCAACCAGCAGGTGCAAAGCGGGTAAATGTTATTCTTGGGATTCCTGTAGAGATAAAGGCATATGAAATTATAGCTACGTGGATAAGTCTCACTTTTGTAAATATTATATGTGGTTGCTATGATTGGCAGAATTAATGTTAGTGAAATTACTATTGAGGCAAATATGTTTATTACTTTTATTTGGAGTTCCACCAGTATTTTAATTGCTAACACAAATGGATAACTCCTATCTTTTAAACGTTTGAAAAAAAATCATTTTATATACGAAGACATGAATTATAAGTTTTTGCATACTTTTTTGGTAAACAACAATTTTTACTTTGTTATTAGTTTCAGAATCTAATGTTTTTATTAAACTATTCTTTACAAAGTTCCCCAAATGATTTTGAGTTTGGCGAATAGGAGTAGGAGGGGCAGAAAATATATTGTTGTGAATGTACTCTCTTCTGTAAACAATAGTTTAATGTGGTTATTGTGCTTTCTTTGTTGTGATATAATTACTATGTACAGGGAATATCAGGCAGTGATAGCAGTGTTGGCTCCATCAGAGGGAAAGTTGTTTGTGGACCACTAGCTGAAGTTGTGCTTCAGTTGTGAATTCATTCATGGCTTGAGTTTTTGTCTTTTGTGTATATTGGTGTGGATGGCAAAGAGTAAAAGTTGAATGTATTACAGATTCTTTTAACTGTTCGTTTTTCAAACAAAACTCTAATTCTCTGATGATTTTTCTCACAGTTCAGAAAACTTGTTTTAGTTACAAATCAATTTATCATTGTTTTTACTTTTAATGGAAGAATTTAATTACCTTTTTATCATTTGTAAGTTTTTAAGGTCAGTGTTTTCTAGTTGTATAAGACTTTTATTTCTCTGATTTTGTGTCAGTTTTAAATAATCCTTTCCCCAACAAACCACATCGTAAGAGATGTATTTGATATATAAGAATACGTAATGATACCAATACATAGAGTATGTGTAAAAATTCATTGCTTTAAATATATTTACTTCATTTCCAAAAAAATAAAAATAAATAAAATAAAGGATATACCTAGGACAAAGGAAAATTTATTTAAAAAGGAGGGTCTGAGCTGCAAGACAGAATAATGAGCAGGGTAAACTGGGTAAAGAAAATCATCGATGATATGAAACAATAACGATGCCTAATTTGTGCTATAAAATAAAAAAATACAAGTGAAATACTAGAAGTGGTCCTATAAGATGGTTAGGAGTGAGTAAAAGGAGCTTAATGTTGTAGCTTTATTCTGAAAAAGGTCAACATTAGACCTGCATTGTCCGGTGTGTTATCCATTAGCTACATATGCTCATTTAATTTTAAGTTGATTAAAATTAAATTAAAATTCAGTTTCTTAGTTGCTCTGACCACATTTGACTTGCTAGTGGCTCCCTGATTGGATAGCAACTGATAGTCCCATTATCTAAGAAAGTTCTGTGGGATGGTGCTGCCTTAGACATGAAGTAAGGTATATGCGTGTTAAAATTTCTAGTGTAACCACTTAAACAAGCTCTTAACCAGGGGATGTACTACATGCCTTACAAGGGGCATTACAAGGTTGTTTGGGGTTATTTTGTGTTGTCACAGTAGATGGCATGGGCAAGTGACAATGATCCTAAACATCCTGCAATACAAGGTTCAGTTCTACACCAGAAAGAATGCTCCCACCCCAAAGTGATTATTAAAAAAGGCATTACTACAGATAAAGTAGGTCATTAAGCGGTCCAATTTTGCCAGACATACATAATTTCAAATGCGTATGCATTTAATCATATGGCTTCATGTTACAAAGAGAAATTGACAAGTTTACTGTTACGGTCTATATCTTTTAAATTGGGGAATATGGGTATATGAAAGAATGAGGCTGGGAAGTTAAGCAGTTACCAGATGTTTCAGGGATGTCTTTATTGTGCTAATGAATAATATTTTTTACATATTTGCACTTTTGAGGAAACATCCAGGAGTAAATTTAATATGTTTTAGAGATAGAAATGGTAGAAGTTGAGCGAGGTGAAGTCTAGGGAGACTTGCAAATTTCTGACCTTGTTTGGTGTCGTACTTCCCAATAAAACTTTGCAAGGATGGTTGATTTTGTTGTTGTAGTTATTGTTTAGAGGGCAAGGAGTCAGGGAAGGATGAAAAATGTTGCAGTTGACCCTTTCATGGTAGAATATCCAGGTGGAAATGCTTACTAGACCGTATAATATGTGTATTTGTATATATTTTGTAGGTTACTATAGATAAACATTTGGTTGAGAACCATCAGAATGTATGTAGTAATTTGAAGCCACTAGAAGGACAGATGAAGAATAAGGTTTAGTGTGCAGAGGGCCTGGGGACTTAGAAGGATTTGCTACTTAAGGACCTGAGCAGGGGGCTGGACACAAAGAAGTAGTCAGGCGTTCCATTATAAATTTATCCTGTCATCTTTTCTCCCCTTTCTACCAGCCCTGTAACCAGGAAGTCCACCATGGCAGCCTTAGGTGCCATTGACTCAAGGGGACAGGAAATGAAAATTGTAGGTAATGGAGGGAGAAGAAAAGGATGTTCCTTTGGTCCCTGGGCAGAGTAGAAAACAAGAGTGGGAAACAGAAGACCTGAGTCCCTATCTCATTTCTTCCAGTAACCAGCCGAGTGACCTCAAATCAAGCAAGCCACTTATCTCTATCAAGTACCAATTTCCTCATCTATAAAATGCGATTACTAAAATCTACCTTCACGTAGAGGGTTGTTATGTGTATCAAAGAAAATCATGGATGAAATATTTCATAAAGTGCTTATATTAATTATATTGTTGGTTGGTTAGTGTTGGACTAGAGGTGGTGGTAGGGAACTAACTGCAAACTATCTGTTGCATTGGATGCTTACGGCAGGCTAAAATTCCTTTTTATAGGATCAAAGTCATGCAACCGTTGATTTGTAGGGCAGAAAGTGAACTTAGAAATAATTTTGTAGATGAGAGTGCAGAGATCTGCAAAGGTTATTTATGTAACGTTACTCCACACTCCACAGACATTTCATGTCAGGTCCTACAGTGGAAGCCAGGCCTCCCCTCTTTCAGTCTGGGGTTCATTCCACCTGAATTAGCACTGTCATGCAGGGACCCTTCCAAAAAGTCACAGATATGTCAATGAACGTGGCAGAATCCAAACAGCTTATTATCAGCAGTGCTGGATGGGTACTCGATCTGGAACAGAATGTGTTTATTTGAATGCCATTTGTCTTACACTGCCTTATTTGCATTGTTTGCCACTTTCTTGGAATAGTGTTCTAAATCAGTGATTAGTCAGAGTTATAACAGGGACACAGCACTGTCGAAATAGGAGTGGCTTTTGAGAACTTCTCCAGTGTCTCCCTCCCACTTCTCTCCTGTTTTCCATAAGATCTTTATAAACATCCTGCTGCTCTAACTGCCCAGCCTACAGTGTGATGAGGGCTCTGACTAGTGGGACTGTGCTTTGCATGTGAATATGTGAGCAGACAGGCCACTGTACTAATCTTTCCATAATAATGCTACCTTAGTCTTTGTTCATACTCAGTGGTAATGGAGCACTCCTGGCTTTCAAAAACTGGAATCTTACTATTAAGAGTAGCTCCTTTGAAAACCAATTGACAATATCTGTGACAAACTGAACTTTTGTATATGCTGAACACTTTACAAATGTAAAACTATTTAATATCTAATAATCCTAGGAGGCAAGAACTTTTTTTTTTTTTTCCATTTTATAGATGAGGAAAGTAAAATGGAGAGATCAGTAACTCAGCCCAATGTCACTGAGCTAGGATTCAAATTTAGGTCTGACACCAATGCCAATATCGTTTTCACTTACCAGCCATGTTGTCCATCTCAAGCAAATTGTTTAAGTTCCCTCAGCTCACATTCTTAAACTATAAAATGGTGATCACATGAATAGCTACACAGATACTGGAAGGATACAGTGTGCAGATAACATTTTTCAAACTCCAAAGTGCTGCATGGATAAGTGTGTTTTAATTATTAATGTTGTTTATAAAGTGCTCTGAATGTTTTTGTCTGCTATTCATGGAGTTTGTTGTTTTACAATTATAATTTTACCTAACACTAAAGCTTTTCTTTTAAAAGAGTAAAACTGGTAGTCATCTCTGTGGTTTTCTATTACTGCTGTCTTGATAGAGCTATTCAATGGATCACCCTGATTTGGGGTTTCTGTGATTTGCAGAACTGCACAAGAGTCCCCATGTGCTAGGTTTTCCAGGGAATATCTGTAACTTTATTTTCTAGTACCAGAGAGAACAATGTGGTGTGGTAACTTGGTATATAAAGGCTGATGTCTGCGTTTTGAACCTTATCCCAATGTCTTTGTGTTAAATTAAGTACAGTGAGATCACCATAACACTTCAGATGCCAACGCGAAGCTCGAGCATCTGCCAATTGATTTAAAGTGATTACCTGAGATCATCCAACTGTCACAAGTCACCAGGGCAGCTCAGAATCCTTGGTCATGCCTGGGACTCTATTGTGTCCCTGTGCTCTTCCCTGTGCTCTGAGGGCTTGGAGTCATTCATATGTAACCTCCTTTCAATTTCATGGCAGTGCTTTGGCATGGTGTCATCCCCTTCACTGTGCTGCATTGCAGGCGCTGCTGGAGTCCATGGTTGATGCTGCTGAAAATCTTTGTCCCAATGTGATGAAAAAAGCCCACATCCGACAAGACTTGATTCATGCCAGCACTGAAAAGATTTCCATTCCACGTACCTTTGTTAAAAATGTCCTGCTGGAGCAATCTGGAATTGACATCCTTAACAAAATTAGGTAGGTTTATAATGTTAATAATCGGCAGTGTATTAGGTTCTGCAGTTTCTGTGAATGCAATTGAGACAGCTGTGAAGAGCACTGTTGTTGGCTCTCCATATATGTGCATTTAGGCATGTCTAATGGGCAGTGACTGTATATAAATACAGCTGTACATAAATGCGTAGAGGTAGACATTTCCAAAATAAGATGACCACAGATATGCCCGTGTTACTAAAGGGCATACAGCTATCTGCTCTTTTTAAGTGTTTTATTTTTAATAGGGGAATACACGTTTGTGATCCCTTTTTTCTACTGCTAAAAAATTACTACCTTTTGCCTTTATAAATCACTAACTTGAAGACTGAAATCAGTCTGCTTCCTACCACCATGCTATTTTATGAGCAAATGCACAGCCTACAAAAGCAAAGAGCCCACTGTGACACTGTATTTGACATCTGGGTTCTTTCGGTGTATTTGTGATGCCGTATATATACTAATAGTACTCTGGAGTGTTTATATAGATTTCTGCTTGATAAAGTGGGAAAAATACGCCACAATACAAATATTTAGAAGGTGTGATCAGCAACAAGCTTTTCTGGATTTTTGTGTCGAGACTCTGGGGTGATTACCAGCATTACATGAAAACTCAGCTAATTCTCATTCTGTTTCTTAGTTGGAGAATCAGATGAATAGAAACCAAGTTTAGAAACATTTTGTGTTTCCAATTTTAGCCATTTCTGAATCTTGATAATCTTTAGATTATCACAAATACGAGCTCTTAGCCGAAGAGTTGGGAATTGTGCTGACACAATGATGGAGCTAAATGACAGCCTGCAAGAAAACAGAGTTAAAACAAGCCAAAAATTACATCATCACAATCTAGATATTAAAGGCCGATAGCCTTAAAGTCAGATTATAGAACTTTGAGTGTTTAGAAAGTTAGCAGTAACTGAACAATCTGAGATCTAGGATGCAGCTGTCACATGCGTGCGTGCGTGTGTGTGTGTGTTTAAATAAAAGATCCTAGCACCTACCCAACTGAGTTATGAGACAATTGGAAGGACTTGAGAAATTTTAAAAAAGACTTTCTGAAGGTTTATAGGACTCCATAGTTTAGTGAGTTTCTGAACTCTAGCCCGCAGTGAGTGTGCTTACTTATTTCTATAACCTGTACTTTTTGAATTCTTCTTGAAACTCCTTAAATATTAAGGAAAAAAAAATCAACCATCATTCTTTCATAATAATTGATTGAACCACCAACCAAATCATACATAATCTGATGCCTTTACTGGAATTCCAAATTCTGTCAAATATGGTCACTTCCCTTGAAAATGGACCGGTTCTGAAAGATGAACAGCAGGCTAGAGCTCCTCTCATCAGGAGTCGGTTATATGTCTATTAGCTCTCCCCTTGGCTTTCTATCATGCATGATGCTGAGCTATGCGAGAATGCAGCTGTGAATGTGCCAGTTAAATTGAATCATTTCCTCTAAAAATTTTGCCAACTGGAAGTTCATTCAGCAAGGAAGTAGAGCATCCAGTAGCAAAATGATAGCACAATCCTGAGACATTTTTAAAATGCGTTTTTAAGAAACTTTTTGGTGCTACAAGTTGAAATAGATAAACCGCCCTCCCCATGAGAGAGAGAGAGAGAGAAATAGAGAATTAGAGAAATAGAGAAATAAACTGACTCTATAGTTTTATGAGGAAGTAAAATTCCCAAACATGCCTAAAAAGAATCAGAGGAAGTACATTATAAAATTGGAATTCCAGGCCCCTCTGGAGGTTTGGGGTGAACCCAGTAATCTCTATTTTTAATAAGAGATCCCAGGGGAATCTTATCCATGGAGACCTTTGTGGAATAATAAAGTATTAGATAAACCAAATAGCTACTGAGACCTTACTTTAGAGACAGGAATTAAAGACACATCCTTTTATCTTTAGACCAGTAAAATTTTTAATGTAGGCATTAAAGAATTCGTGCTTTCATTCTTCTGCCTTGTCATGAAAAATCTTTCTGGGCAGAGAAATCTCAGTGCAAATTATTGCCTTTAGGTTAGAAAGGCTTTTCCCTGTTAGACAAATGTACTTTCAACTTTAGTTTTAGGATTAAATAATATTATTTTGATAATTCCTGTCCCTGCTCTAAAAATTTTTAAATTCTTGACTTCAAAAGCAGACTAGAACTTAGGAGACAATGTGGAAATGTGGGTATAAATCTCTCTAGTACAGGGACCTATAAATGTGTTATACCTGTATGTGCATGTGTATATTTATGTAGGATTATTCAGACCGAAGACACACATGGGATTTGAATTCTTGGGGATACCAAATAGCTACATTGCTCACTAAAATACCAGCTCTCTGGGTGAAAACTTAGTGGCTGAGTTGTTTATAGTGAAAACTGCCAGGCACTTTGTGTTCCTGGGCACTTTCAAAAGGTCAAGCAAGAGGCACTAAAAACTAAACATTTTGGTAACGTTCATTTATAAAAGGCAGCAGAACAGTGAATGTGTAACTGTAAGATGGTGAGTCAGAGCAGAAGCAGTTCCGTATGATACCATCGAATTCGTAAAAAGGTTTTTAAAAGGAGGGGGTTATGCATAATAAAGTAATAACCAAGACTTAACAGTCAGACTAGACTTTCTTAATTTGGTCCAGCCTAGGTTTGTTTTCATTTATGTCAATGGATGAATTGTTCTTGACCACGTGGTACATATGGTTCCCATTAAGTTGGTCTTTATCCAGATGTTTTCATTTCTACCACTAAACCTTGACTTTTGAGATGGCAGTGGCAGGTTGAAATTGGTCAAGAAAGTATTACCTGTGTGTTTATGGCAGTGCTTAAGCCTTATTCTTGGAAGTCTTCAGCCCTGTTCATACATTCTTTATTTTATTTTCAAAGACAGAAACAATGACAGTGGACCTTATCAACATAGGATCAAGTGTGGGTGATTTTTTCCTGGTGCACAAATTAAAACGCTTCTCTGTACTTTTGATTTTTTACATAGTGAAGTGAAGTTGACAGTGGCCTCCTTCCTGTCTGATCGAATCGTGGATGAAATTCTGGATGCACTGTCACACTGCCATCATAAACTGGTGAGTGTCGTGGCCATCTTGAGCAGGACCTCCTGTTTCAGCCTGCTATGATGCAGGGCAGCCTCCAGCACGGGAATGTGGGTTCTTTTCTAAGTTTTGCTTCTTTGTAGCGTTACAAGTTAAGATCCTGGTTTTTCTCGTTCCTCTTCTAAATTGCTTCTAGCCAATCTAGAGCATCTTAGAATTTGTCCAGAGAGATAATGGCAGGGGAAAGCAAAAGTGATGGTTTCTAGAATCTTGTCCATTTATAATGCAGGTCAAAAGTTTTGGTAGGAGGTAGCGTTGAGACTGAAATCTAAAATTAAAAAATTTTTAGATTAATTTTTCTGTGCTCAGTTTTTTGGTTTCTGATATGATTGTTTAAGAATGGACTATTCTTGAGAGCATGGAGGGGAATGAAATATTTGGAGTTCAAAGAATGTGCAGGAGTAAAATGGACATGTTCTAATGATTGATAGTTGCTGTGCACCCAACCAGGTCTCTCAGACATAACCAAGGTGAAAAAATAAATTTTATTAATCTAGATACTGGTTCTGTACCAGGGCAGAAGATTTGACGTTCAATATCATCGCATATGAAAAATATATCAGCAACTTCATGTTTCTTGAACTTTAGAGAATCGCACAAATGAAAGTTGTAGAACTGGATATATCTTGTGTCTCAAACATATTAGCAATCTGACGCAGTAGAAATCTCCCAAGCAAATTAAGACGTTTTCTCCAGAGAAAAATGTCAGATTAACTTTGATGGCTGGAGATACCCAGTTTTATGGCATTGAATTGTTGATTGTCACTGGAGAACACTAAAATGAGAACAATAACAGCTTCTTCTTCCGCATAAGGCGGGTAACACGAGTGTTTTGAAAAATTTATTTCAGAAAAATATATAAGACTTTCCTCTAAAATCGAAAAGATAAGATAGACCTCTCCAGAGGCGCTGCTCACAGAACTGCCTGTGGACTGCAGCCGGCCCCCTAGTAAATGGTTAGTAGTCCGTGACAGCATTAGCTCAGGAAACAGGAGGAAACGTGGAGGAACTTCAATTTGACATGGCCACAATATTCAAACACAGGTTGTTTTTCTATCTCTTATTTTTATTGTATTTTACCAATATCTTGGTTTGTGGCAAAATGGAAATATAAAAAACTAGGTCCTCACCATAGAGAATTTAAGAAGCACGAGTTTCTAGTTTGTGGAACAGTAAAGAACTGCATCACTTTTTGAGCTCCCAATTCAGATTTCTCCTGTTTCAAATAAGTAGAAACAAAATCAATAGAGCATTTTTTATAGAAAAGTTTGTTGATAACCCACAGTTCTAGGGACTGCCTCAAAATGCCCACTCAGTCGATGACACAAATACTGGATATTGTAGCCACATGACTACATGTGAGAAGTACACTGAAAGTTTGAATTTTTGCCCTCTTTTAAAACTTTTTTATTAAATTCATTTTTCATTTATGCTGTGAATGCACTTTTGTTTTGAATTTCATTTTAATATTAATACTGCTGATTCGAATTATAAGGAGAGCTTCACTGCTATGGGTAAGAAATAGTATCTTTAAAATGAAACTTCACTTTCAAATACATTCTGATAACATTAATATTTTCTACAACTTAAGTTTAGAAATATTCTCAAAGGTTCCATGGAATTGTCCACTGGTTCTCATCGTTTTGAAAGAATTAAATCAAAAGTTCCTAGTGAAGAGTCAGGTCAGCACTAGAACTTATTAATTCCAGCCCAGTTTATTCCACCTCTTACCACCTAATTTTTTAGGTTTACCTGAAGCATAATACTGGAAATTAAGAAATCATATCAAATATGGTATTCATTACATGAAAACAGTGGAAGCTAGCATTAATGAAAATTTTGTTAGTGATTCTCTCCCTTTAGCCCTTTAAAAATAACAAAGCTTGGAATTATTTTATTTACCCTCATTAGATATTTTTAAGCACTAGAAATAGAAATTCAGAGGAAATATTAAATATAATTAACAAAAAGAACACTTCTAGACTAAGTGATCTCATTTACCTTGTGTCAGTTATTTTTCTGGTTTAAATTTCCCTTATATTTCTACCTATAATATTGGTGTCAATGACATCATACTTCATTGTTAATTTTCTTTAACCTTAAAAGAGCAAATTGAGTTGAACTGAATCTTCCTTGTCCTAATAAAATTGCATAAATAAAATGGCTTCTCTGTACAAAAGGTTGAAATGACTCTTGATGGACATATTTTATGATTGTATTTAAGATAAAATGGGGGAACCAATCACCCTAGCTTCCTGAAAAGGTTTAAAATACACCTTTTGGAAAATAAAAATACATGCCTACTTTGTGCGTATTTGCATCAACATGGCAAAGCTTTATGAAATACCTGTTTTTCAAAAAATAAAGTCTCAAAATACATTTCATAAAAAGGTTTTGTCATTTCATGCTTAGAACATTTCACCCTCTAAAGAAGGATAATGAAAGAGGTTAGCTACTCCAGTGCGAATTGGTTAAGAACTGTCATTAACCACATGCGGATATACGCCTTCAGTGCGCCGTCTTTGGGAATCCAGTCAACCTACTCTTCCTTTGTCTCTGCGTTAATTTCTCCTTGTGTATGTCTTCACTGTCTAGACTGACCACTTCAGCAGACGTGGCAAGACCCTTCCTCAACAAGAGTCCTTAGAGATTGAACTGGCTGAGGAGAAGCCTGTTAAGCGCTCCGTCATCACGGTGGAGGAGCTCACAGAGATTGAGCGTTTAGAAGATCTGGATACTTGTATGGTAAGATGCATCGTTTGGCGACACCATTATCCCATTCACTGAGCTCTGCTATTGTGTGTGTGTGTTTTTTTTTAATCTCATCCTTTACAAAGCAGACCAAATAAAACTTCCCTTCAGAGACAGTTCTTTCAGAAACTTATTGCTGTTCAGAAGCTGTTAATGAGACTAATAAAACTTAAGCTTCAAGTTCCCACCAGAGTTGGTGTCTGATTTTTTATTTGTAATTTTGTAAAACTTTTCTTAAAGAGTAATCCTACCCACACCACTACTCCAAGTAAACACTGCGTCTCTGTAGCCACTGTGGAAAAAGTCCTAAATGAATCAGAAATTTAGTAACTTTTAAAGGTCTTTTTTGATAGGAAAATTTCTTTAAATAAAGAGGCCATTTAAAAAAATGTGGGGAAGAACTTTTTCTCATATAAAATGTGTAGGGCGACTATATCTTTCTTGGTCCTACAGTTTCGTTATTACTTTCTGCTGCTGCTTCCTGTTTTTTTCATTACACAATTTTGATATACTCTTAAATTTACATTTCCCGTTTAGTTCTTACTCTTTTTCCTTCCCTCGGCTTGACCTGATGTATAAGATGGAATATATACTGCGGAGTAGGTCTTGATTCCTTACTCATTTTTTACATTTCACGTGGTGCCTCCATCTGTCTATATAAATAGCATACTTAGGGCTTTGAAACTTTTTTTCCCTCTGAGGACAATTTTATTTCTGTTCTTATTTCATTATTTGAAAAGTTGTGTTCTTACTGTAGTTACTTCTTACTTTACCATAAAAACGGTTGTATGTCCTTTTGTGTTCAATATGTTTTCATCTCTGTTCAATATTTTTATGTTTTAATACTCATTTTTTAGTAATTCTTTATGATCTGAGAAGGTACTGGTGAGACTAGGTTTGGGCTACTTATGCCCAAATGTTTCTATATCAGCTTCCAATTTTAGATAGTTGAAATACAGTCGTTATTAAAGAATGGTACTTGTTTTTAACTTCCAAAACCAAGGATCCGATATGGCAGATATTATTTTTCTAGCCTGGGAAAAAGTATAATGCTTTACATTCCTTATTTATAAACCACTGTTATCTTTTAAAGGCTGTGAATAATATAGTTGAGCCCTCCAGATAAAACCCAATCATATACAAAAAAAGCCTAAAATATAATCCTAGATTTCAAGAAACATTCTAGCATTACTAAAGGTGACAGGTACTTTTCTATATAACTATTTAAATCTACAAATATATTTGGCATCAGTGGAGGAAATTATCAAGGCTTTTAAAAGTTGCCTGTCTAGTATGTTATAAAATGTATTTTTAATATGTATTTTAAATTTTTCTTGCATTTGAAGCATTAAAAACTGGATACTACGTTATCATAGGGTATTTATTCTGAAAGCTCTTAGGTTAGCTCTTAAAGAAAATAAGTAATAGGAAATGAGTTGAATTAAAATTTTTAAATTAACTCTATATATCACATTTTCTGCCAGAATTATTTGGTTATATGTGAGTCGGAAAGGAATAAAGGAAACATGAGCTAATAAAATGTATTTCATTGGGTTTGTAAGTTAAGTCATTTGGGATGATGGAGTATTGGTTTAAAAAGACTGGCTAAGCTACTGGAAGGGTTTTAAATTGTATAAACTTAGTTTTTGCTTAATTGATTGATTTGGTTTTGTTATGTGAAAGAAAGAAAAAGTGGTTCTCTTTAAATAAAGAAGATAGGATGAGGGTGGAGGATAGGAATTATTTTTTAAAATGCAGATTCTGGACCATCTCCATCTGGACCGAAGGGCAAACTGTGTGGCAGGCACTCTCAGCATGAGTGGCTTTCGTTTCGTACAGATGTTCTTGTTGCCGTGATATATAATGAGGCAGGAGTAGGTGGAGGTCTCTCTGAACTGCACTGTAAGGATGACCCCAGTTAGAGCGGGGTTCAGAAGGCCAAGGGCGCAAGCAGGGTCGTTCCTGACATAAGCACCTGTTGAATCTTAGGAAGAGGAGCAGGGCCTCTGGTGTTGAGTGGGTGACAAACACAAGACAGAGTTCTCTATAAAAACAAAAATACTTACATGAGTAAAATTTTTAAGTCATGAGAGTAGTGTTTTCTGTTTCAATACATTTTGTCTTTAATCATTGTTTTAATGAGGCTAATGAATTGTTAAGTAGCAGAAAACCATAGCTAAGTTTGCTGTTAGTTTAATGAAAAGGAACATTTTTTTGTATAAAAAGTGCATGTCAGTGGATTTTGTGCCGTTATAATTTCCTCTGTACTCTCAGCCTAACCGATCGATTCTACCTGGAAACAGTACCGTTTACCCCATGTGCAGGGATCACTCTCATAAAGAAAATTAATTTTCTGAGCTTTAGGCTTCTTACCCTCAGCCAATGGTACAAACCCACAGCTAATTTGAAAGAAGTAGTAAAATTATCTACACTGCCACCTTTCATAATCAAAGTAGCATATTTTTTTTTTGTTTCTCATGAACATCTATTACCAAATATTTCAGACCAAATAAGTCGAGATCTTCACGTGGTGCCATTTTTTTAAAAAGTTTGGAGTATGAATTTCAAAGGTAGAGACAATTTGGGATTTCTAAATGAGACTTCCTTGGTAGCATTTATATCTTAAGTGATCCAGGACTTTAGGACACAAGATTAACTGTTATGTAGAAAATTATCAGATATAAAGTACATATGTGCACGCATATAGCCTTTCCCATGTGGAAATGTAAGCCCCCAGCAGGTAGAAATTATGCTATACTTGAAGTCAGAGCACTGTTAAAGATGACTGCTTTGGGAGATGCTATCATTTTACTATTACCTAAAATGTTTGTTTGTAGCCCAAAGCCCTGTGACACTTTCTGTAGGGCATTTCAAAGTAACTTTGACTCATCTCCAACCTTTTACTTCTAGATTCAAAATTGTTAACAGATCCTGGCAATTTTTTTTTTTTTTTTTTTTTTTTGCCTGTGATGTTTATGACATCCGCTAAATCCATTTTTAAATATTTCTTTAAAAGACTTAGTAGAGATTCTGGGCATTTCCTTTTTTCCCTGCCCCCGGATAGCTTATCTTCATGTTTTCTTCCATTGCTCCATGGACAAAAAGTCAATTCCATTTCAGTGCTTAAGTCTCTTTAAAGAACTTCTAGTTATCATCACACTAGAGAAGGTTTAAGGCCATAAGTTAGAGGTATAAGTTTATATTAATTTGAATGTAAGGATTGCCTTTTTGGAGATAGAAACAATAATCAATATGATTATTTTGAAAGAAAATTTTAACTAAGTCAACACATAGTAAACTTTCATTTGGACTATTTGAGGCTGATATAAGAATGATTCAGGGGGGCCGGAGGGATGTTATCTGCTGGAGGGAAGACTAAGAACTTCTCATCAATCTTAATTTCCTAAAGTGAAAGGAAAAGGCTGTTTTCTTTAAAGTAGCAGAAAGGGGAATCTTTTTTAAAAATTCTGTCTCCATTCAAGTAATTATCTTTTTTTATTTAGCTAGAAAGAAACTAAGAGGTAATCTGGTTCACCTTGTGGGGTATAGTGAAGAGGAACAAGAACTGTAAAATTACCTATACCCATTCTCATAGTCCTGGAGATTCTGATATCCCTTTAACTTCAGGGCAGAAAATCAGATGGTATAACAAATCTTATTATTTAATACATTTCTATAGTACCTATAATGTGCTAGGCACTAATCTAAGTTTTTTATGAATAGTAACAACCTATGAATAATTAGGTGTTATTAATATCTTCTACTTAACAAATGAGGAAACTGAGGCATAGAAAACTTAAGTAATGTGTCCGGGGTTACCTAGGTCACTGAAAGGCAGGCAGTTTGGTACAAGAGTCTGCTGTGATCAGTATATGGATGTCACAATCAGAATTAAATGTTGAGTTAGATTTAATTAGACTACAATGCTTTATGTAAAATATCTCCTTACTAACTCCAGATTTAATCAGTGAGAAGATACACAAGTGAAAGATATGTGTGCAATACAACCATAATGTAACCCTATAGTTTTTAAATATTTTGGGGAACAAGTGTATCAAAAATCTGACACATTCCATTGTGATCCAATTGTTCGAAATGAATCTGCCCGCTTCGGCTTCCCTGGAATGTTCTGTGCCTTTTCATGTGTTATTGTGTTGGTGACAGTGATTAATTAGCCTTCCTGTATACTTCTTATCATTTTCACACATGTGCCTTCTATGTCATGCTGAAACATGTATTTGCTTAGAATCTTTATTGTCTGTCCATGAACCATCTGTCCTCTTCCTGCTCTCAGGTGCTCTTAGGAAGTCAATATTTCTAATCATCTTTCAGCTTTGGTTTGTCATTGGCCCTTGGGGTATTGGAGAATGCAGTTCTAAGTCTACTGATGACTTTTCTCTAAATAGTTAATTTGTTACTGTATATAGTTTTTACTACCTTTTAAAAATTGCAGAAGTTCAGCGTTTAGGATAGTGTGCCAAGTGGATGAAGAGATAATGTTGGCTCCTTAGGCATAACTAGCTCACTAATTGTAAGTAGTTCTTTCAGTTATTTTAATGAGTGTCATACCAGTTTTAAATAAAAAAATAGTCATGCAGAGAACAGTTCATCTACTTACTGCTATTTCCTAGGAAAATAATTTGAAAAGGCTTGAATTATTACAGAACACATCTTGTGAATCTTTTCTTCAAAGACAAAAATAATTATTTTCCCATAAAAATTTAGTCTCAATTTTAATTCATAATTTTTAAGGTTTTTAATACAGATTAAAATTCAGCAGAGATCCATTTGTCTTGAGCAAATACTATTTTTTTAAACAAATCACTTCATTTCTGAGTGCCAATAGTTATTAATTGAACTGATCTATTAATGGTATTGCCAAGTACAGACTATTAAGGTCAATATCTCATTTAAAATCAGTTGCACTGATATTAACTATGTACAGAAGCCTGTGCAAGTCCTAATTGTTAGTTCCCTCTTATAATTTATTCTAT